GGGGTGTGCACCAGGGTAGGGTTAGGGTTAGAAAAACGTGGTGTCCTGGCATGATTTTGATGGTTGGAATGTGTTTAGAATGGGCAGAAATGATGAGCTGGCGGAAAAAGCTACTAAAAGAAGGCTTTTTCAAAATTGCCCTCTTTTCAATGGAACTTTAGCCCTATATTAGGGTTAGGGGTGTGCACCAGGGTAGGGTTAGGGTTAGAAAAACGTGGTGTCCTGGCATGATTTTGATGGTTGGAATGTGTTTAGAATGGGGAGAAATGTTGAGGTGTGCAGAAAAAGCTACTCAAGGAAGGTTTTTTTTCAAAATCGCCCTTTTCAATGGTATATTACTCCCTTATTAGGGTTAGGGGAATGCACCAGGATAGGGTCAGGTCAGTGATTGCAAACCTATGGCACACGTGCCACAGCAGATATGCAGTGCTCTCTCTGTTAGCACGTGAACCAAGTCACCCCAGCACAGCCCCAGCAGCCGAGCATCAGATAACGGCGCACATAGGGGCCATGCACAGGCTAGGAAAGGAGTATCAGTGCCAGTCGATGACGTCATGAGCCGCAACTCATTAGCCGCGACTCGTCCGAGCTTTCGCATGACCAGTCAGTGCCCTGCCAAGGATATATTTATATTTGCTAGGCCTGGCTGTGAGGTGTTTTTTCTAAATGAAAACCTCAGTTTTCAGGTTTTATTGTAGCGTTGGCCCTTTGCCATAAGTGAGTGTGGGGTTGCAGTTTGGGCACTTGGTCTCTAAGAGGTTTGCCATCACTGACCTAGCCCAGCCCCTCATGCAGTACAGGAATATGCAGCAGTGTAGATGACAGACGGCTGGCCCACCTCTGCTGAAATACGGGGCCACCTCCCAAGGCATTCCCCATTCAAGGGGTCATACCATTAGGACGTTGGTCTGAATCTTTAATGGAAAACTCTTCCCTAGCTTTTCCACATGGTTCTGTCCTGTGAACAAGCCATGGCAGGGGCCGGATGGTCCATTCAGCCCCTGCTGTGGTTAGAAGGTTACACCTCAGTGGTAGTCCTAAACAGGCAAAAACTGAGGGGAATCCATGAGGGGTGGGGTAGCTTGTGGATTTCATTAAAGGCCTCACTTCTAATCTTCCAAACCGAACCAAGGGAAAATAAGAACCAGATGTCCAACTCTTTGCAGTGGTTTGTCTCTACACTGAAAAGGAGGCTCGCAACCAGCCTAAAATTTCAGGAGGGCGGGCTGCCAAAAAAGGTAACGGGCCAGTTCATCGGTTCTGCAGGCCTTTTAAAGGCAAATTTGTAACTTAGAAATCAATCAATCTATAAATAAAAGGAGAGACACAAAAATGTAGGTGGGACAGCCCACCTCTGTCTACCCTGGTTACATACTGCTCAGAAGATCAAAAACATGGGATTGAAACCACAAATGGGATCTGAAAACAAATGGCGGGGGACATCCATCTTGCTAAACATGCATCTCTTCGTTTGAAGGAGGTGAGTGGAGGAAATGGAGCCATTCCATCGGCCCTGCGGCAGACCACCCCCAGGCAGGACCCCTCCCTCGGATGCCTCCACCGCTGGCCCTTCCAGAAGGCTCCAGCAGGAGGAGACGCAAGGATAGGAAGGGCATTTCAGCCAGCCCTGCTAAAAAGATTTTTTTTTTTGTCCCTCTTCCTTCCCCATTCCTTCTTCCTTGTCATGTCCCTTTCAGATTGCAAGCCTGTGGCAAGAAACTGTCCTAATGGATTGTGTGCTTGATTCCCTGAGATACTTTTTGGCTAAGGAGCAGTATAAAAATACTTCTCATAAATGAATAATTTCAAATAATGAAATGTTCCTGCCAACTATTCTTCGGCTTCACTGAGCTGGTTCATTCTGCCCTGTGTCTGTGTCTGTGTTTTTGGGAAAGGGATTATTCTTTAAAAAATATTTGCTGTTCTTCTACCCATACATGCACCCCTCCTTGCCATGCAAAAATACTGATAGACCCCCCTCTTCGTTTCTCTGTGGAAATTGTTTCTGTTCATACTTAAACCCAAGTTCATGCTGGTATTACGTATGTCTGAAATCGGTCTCTTCACTGTGGTTACCAACACAGAAATAAGATTTACTCTGCTGGACCAGACGATAACATCTAGGCCAGGATTATATTTCAATCAGGGATCCTTTGGCAGAACTGAAGATGTGCTACATTGTTATGAAAACGGCAGTTTTTCACCTGAGGATAAACTTTTGCTCATGTATCATGAACAAGCCATTCTTCATGAATTACCCACCACCAAATCAGTATTTTTTACTCATTGTGTGAGTCGTCTTGGGAAGAGGGAGAGACTTTCACATTGAGGCTGGAAGGGTAAATATTAATGTTTGTCCTTGTGAAATTTATTTTTGTTATAAAGGGCACTGCAATCTCTCTTACCTGCAGAGTAACTTTTGCTGACCACACAGCTGTTTTGCAAATCTGACCAAATTTGGACTGAGTCATATGTTTTTCAGCAAATTTGAATCAAGACCACAATCCTGTGGGCACCTATGGAGGTTTACACAGAATAAAAGGCTTACAACTTCCTGCCTATACTTCCATAAAGAAGCAAATTAGTAACTTTCAAACAAAAGGTGTCTTGTGCTGCACCTTGTTGTTGTTGTTGTTAGTCGTGAAGTTGTGTCCTACCCATCGCGACCCCATGGACAACATTCCTCCAGGCCTTCCTGTCCTCCTCTATCCCCCGGAGTCCACTCAAGCTCATGCCGACTGCTTCAGTGACTCCATCCAGCCACCTCATCCTCTGCCATTCCCTTCTTCTTTTGCCATCTATTGTTTTTACACATCTATTGTCTTTTACACAGATCAAAGAACTGCCTTTGCGCTGTTTACACAGATCAACAAAATCGGCAAAGGAGTTTATACTGGATGCTCTGTGCAGGCAGGGACTTTTATTGGCTTCCAGGAACTGGCTTGGAGGTCAGGTGGTGCTGCATAAGTAATACTGTTTTTCCTTGCTTCTAGCCCTCATGATGAGGGTGGTGCTGTGCTGAGGCCGGGTTGCAGTCATGCAACCTCTATAACCTTCTCTCGCTCTCTGTGCATGTTGATCCACTGCAGTTCTCTAAGCACTGCAGAAATGACCCATGCTGGGACATCAAGCTCTTTCTTTCTCCCACCTCTGGTGTATGCCAGGGGTTGTAGGCCTTCGTGCCCTCCAGAATTGCATAGGATTACACCCTGAATCCTACTAACTTCTTGTGGGTTTCCCACCCCTCAGCTATGCGGGGGCACTAGCCCAAACATTTGGAAGGTCATGAGCCCCCCCCCCCGCCGTTGTGTTGGTCTAATCTAGGGGTTAACCGGTACATTTGGGGTTCTGGATGACGCTGTCTAAGGAAAGAACAAGCGAGCCAGCTCAGGTCGTCTTCTGAAAGCTGAGGACCTGGGCTTTCCTGAGTCACCAAACGCTTCGGCTGCCTCGCATCACACATCCGCGGTCTCTGCACCGTAGCGCCCAAAGCAGCCTTTCCCGAAGTATAAAGAAGGGGAAGGCGTCAAAGACTGCAGTGCGAGCGAACGGGAAGGCGGGGAGGAGGCGGGGCGGGGGGAGGAAGGCAGACGGGACGACGTGATCTAGAAAGGCTTCGTGAGGTTTTGTGGTTGCTCGTCTGATGAATCGATTAGTTAACGCATTACCGGCGCATCCCTTCCTGCCGGCGGAGAGATGCAGGCAGCCGAGGCGGGGCGGGGGGAATGACTTGACGCCGGCGGGGGGCGCAGCTCGCCGCCTTCTCGCCTTCGCCTGCTCCCTCCTCCTCCATCCGGTCCCTCCAAACCGAAAGTCCGTCCCCTGCTCCGTGTCGCCGTGACGACCGCGCCGTGGGCCCGCCTCCCCTGCCTCGCATCTTGGCTCCCTCCCGCCGCGGTCCGGAGCCGGGGCGCCCGTCCAGCCGCGGCTCCATCCACAGCTCCGCAGCCCCGCCGCCCGCCCGCCCATCCATCCGTCCATCCATCCCCGCATCCCTCCTTCCGTGCTCTCCGCCGCTCCTCCGCGCCCACCGCCTGGGCTCCGGCCTTGGGGATCAGTCCCAGGCTGGAAGAGGGGCAGCCTGGAAGGGGGGGACGGCCATGGAGGGGGGCTCGAGCCGGGCGGGCCCGGAGGGGGACACCGCGGCCCCCAACCCCTTCGTCCACGAGCTGCGCCTCAGCCGCCTGCAGAAAGCCAAGGTGAGCCACCGCCTGCGCCGGGGGGGCGGCGGCAGGATGGGGCGGGCGCAGAGGGGCGCACGGGGCGCCGGAGGGTCGCCCGCGGGTGCTCTTCGAGTCTCCTTGAAATCGGGGGCGACTGCCCGGGGGACGCGGCGGCGGCGGCGCTTTGGCGTGCGCACGGCGCAAGGAGCGCGTCATTGGAGCGGGGCAGGAGGGTCGCCACCTGGTTATGGGGCTTTCCGCGAAGAGGGGGGTGCTTGGGGGGCGGTGGTCGACGGCGCCCTGGCGGGGTTGGCTGATCTCGGGGCGTGGAGGGAGTGTCTGGACGGACTCCCAGGATGCCTGCAGGCGCCCTGGACGGGCCTGGGCGGGCTGCCCTTGGCGAGCGGCGGACCCATGGGGAGGGTCCGGGGGCCGCGAGATGCAGGAGGCGCTCCGCGTCGGATTCCCGAATCCTGCTATTAGGCCATTCCATTTCAGGCTGCAATGCCGGACGGGGGTTGATTAATCGCTTATCTGGGGTGGGGGGAGCGTGGTAACCCTGTTTTCGTTGGGCCTGCTCGGGTCTTCCCGAAGTGGGAAGGCATTCACTGGGTTGACTGGGAGAATGCGACTGGGAGGTGCTTCAGGGAGTAAAAGCTGATGAGGAGGGTGCAGATATATTGATTTATTAGCACCCCATCTTTCTTGCCCACCCCCAAAAAGTTGCATTGTAGGCAGCTTGCGATTGCACAACAAGCTTAGTGGAGAGGGCAGCCCATCCCTCCCAGGGTAGCAGGGGGTGCGCCCCACATGTTCGAGTCCTGGGGGGTGCCCCATCAGTACCTTCCAGGTGGCTGGATTGCTCTGGGGCATGTCCTCAGGGCCCCTGGGCTCGCTTGGCTGGACTTCTTCACATCTGAGGGGTGCTGGAGGTTGGGTGACCTCTGGGATTCCAAAGAGCAAATGGAGTTTCGGTGCAGCCCCTCTGGAGAAGGATGTCTTAAAAGATATGGGATTAAATGGCCAGGGTAACACTGAGGTCTTTGAGAATATGGGGCACCAAAAGGAAGATAGGATTTGTGACCTACAGAATTTTACCAAAGGTTTGGGGCAGGACATATTTGAAGGAGGGGCAGGACAAGCCGGGTTGGGAAGGGGAGGGTGTGCAGTGGAGGTGGAGTGTTTCCAGATTTATAGGGCCAGGAAGGGCCAGGGGTTCTGTGGGGGCTGCTGCAGCCTATTGTGGGTGATGATGTGGTTCTCCTTAGTGAAGGTCTTGGAAGGTTTTCAGCAGGGCTAGCTTTTCAAGCAAAGGCACAGTGGCTTGGAAAGCACAGACGATAGGAAGCCCATGGGACAAATACGGGGTGCAGCACGGAGGGAGGTCTTTCGAGACGGGGAGGGGAGAAGACAGGCAAATGACTCTCCACCGCTTTTGCTTTAGCCATGCGGCAGTGCGGTGGTGCGGGGCGGGGGGGGGGGGGGGCAGGGAAGCAGGCCGAGCAGGAAGTCAAAGGCCTGTGGGACCAAACTGAGCTAGCTGCCTTTCCAGGTCCCCTGGATATGTTTGGTTCTAGCCAGAGGCTGCAGGAAAAGAAAGCCTCGGGGTTAGAAGGCAGGTGAAAATTGGACCAGACAGGAGCCGTAGAGGATCACTTTTTTCTCAGTGGCTTCCACCACTTGATTCCATCTTCCTTCTCTTTCCTCCGGACTGCAACTGTGTTTGGTTTTGCAGTCTCTCTACTGGCAACAAAAGGGAACTAAGAGCCCTAGGCAGGAAAAATTGCCCCCAGTCTTATGCCTTCTCCTTTGTATTTAAGCCCGCACCACCCTCCCTTGCAATATCTCCATTATTCTGTTAGAGTCCGTCTCCCCCGCCCCCACCCTGCAGCGAGGCTGGTGCTAAATATTCCTATTTGTATTTGTCAGCGGAACCAATTTAAGCTCTGTGTTTATTTCCCACTGCTGGGAACAGGAGACTGGAGAGACGGTTGTTGCCAAAGGCTGATCAACAACTGTATTTATACATTCCTGCGTCTCTTGTACCTGACTATACTAGGAACAGGGAAAAGAGAGAAGATGCCAGCCACGTGTGTGGCATTCTGCAAAGTATGAGAAGACAGATCCCTGCCCTGAGGAGCAAACTATCTAGAAAAGTGCAATGCATGGAAAATAGCAGAAAGTACTAGCTCCCTGGGGGCTGGCAAAGGGGGCACAGAGCTCTGCCCGTCCCCTGCTGGTCTGCTGCGTTTCTACTCAGGCCTGGAGGAGAAAGAGGCTCACATCCCTTTTGTAGCTCCTCTGGTTTCTGTGTTAGGCCCAGAGGAGGCATGGAATACTCTGTCCTGCCTCTACCACTCCCCCACTTGTCTTTATGTAATCCCATAAGGGGCACCAAGCACTCTGTCCTGCCTCTACTAGTCTGCAGGTAATCCCTGGTCACCAATGGCGACCAGGTGAGTGCTTTTAATACAAGTCTAGGTTAAATGTTATTTCGGCAAACTCTGGATTAGTTGCAGTCAGCTGTGTTGGAGCGTCACTCCTAGCATCCCTCTGGCAGCATGGACAATGTTCAGCAATGGTGGCGTTGAGATCAAAGACCCCTGGAAGGTTGAGGGAAGCAGGGCTAAGCCGTGGGAGTGGGGGTTGATTTTGAAGAAAGGCATATTGGGACTGGAAAGTTCATGTTGTGCCTGGTGTGGAGAGAAAGAAATTACTTGGCTCTCCCAAACTATTTTGTCACCTGGTGAAAATGAAGGGCAGCCAGGCTGGGAGAAGTTACTGGATTTACACCTTCACAGAAGACCATATGGCCAGTTGCATATACACTAAGCCGTGCATTGCTGACTTCTGGCTCGTTGTTGCTTCTAAATGCGTCCCCGTAAACAAACCATGGTTGGCTAACTAGCTGTTAGCCACAAATAAACCCCATGGATTCCTGGCATACGAAGTTTGTCTTGTTTAAACCTTAGCTGTCCTCATTATTGGAAGCTATCAGCATGGCTTATCTCAGCCTCCGTCGTGTTGCTGAAATGGTGGCGCCCAGCAAGAGCATTCTGAAAATGAAACTGCTCCCAAGGCCTGCAAAAGGAGTGAGACAAACCAGAAACAGGAACAACAACCAGGGATTCGTTTGCTCATCTGCAAGACAAATAATGGCTAATGCAGTAAACCCTTGTTAACATAAATCATGGTTTAGGATTATGGTGAAGATTGCTGGTTTGTTTTTGGGATTCACACTGTTAAAAGGAAGGGATACCGATTCATGGAGTAAGGCCAATTGACAGCTCTTAGCTAGTGCCCTAAATGGAGCCTCTGTGTCCAGGAGCAGTCTATCTCTGGATGCCACTTGCAGAGGAAACAAACAAAAAGGAAGGCTACAGATTTCCTGCTTGCTTGTGAGCTTCTCAGAAAGCATCTGGGTGGGCCACTGTTGGAAACAGGATGCTGGTCTCCATGGGGTATCAGCCCATTGCCTGATCCAACTTCTGACATTCTTAATGGCCTGGGAGAATGAATTTCTGGCTCCCTGTCTTCCGAAAGCTTGTGACATGGTTTAATTTCCAAAATGGGTGGATGCCAGGACGCAGATCTGTCTGGAAGGCATACAGTGTGACCTAGAAGGTCTGTATCTAAATCCTCAATCTCTCAGGCTTTGTTTGCAACACTGCTCAGCAAGGGAGGTTGGCAGGATGGATGAACTGAAATGAGCCATTTAATTCCTGGTTCAGCTCACTACCGTGATTATCATTTGTATTGGGTTTCTGCTTGAAACTTCAAATTCCTCCTTTTTTTTAAAAAAAAAAAGTGATGCATAATTCTTGGTTGGTCTAAAACATGCTAATTTACTGAATATGCAAAAGAATTTCTTTCTATTGGAGCTTCTTTCACTTCTCTTCTATTCCTTGCATTGTACTAATTCCTGTCCCGCATCCGTGTAACACTTGGAACCTTTTGTTGCTTACAGCCAGGATGTGGGGGACAGCTACTTGCAGTTATTTCTTTTGTAACAACTCTGAAAACAGAAATAAGGGCAGTGCTCTTAGTTTGCAGAAAACAGAAAGGAACCACCCTGTTTGCTGACCGAGAACTGAGGCAAACTGTAGACCTTGGAGAGTTAAAGAACATAACCACAGGAGCATATAAAAGTTTATCCTGAGAATGATTGCATCTCCTGAATTCAGAGTTACTTATGAAAACATCGCAAGTTCCTAGCCCTCAGGATGCAAGCCTATAACAAGGGGACGTCTTGTGCCATATCTGCCATGCTTAACTTTACAAAGATTTGTCTTGGATCCTAAGATAAGTTAAGGAAGTCCATTGAAGGAAATTTTCCTATCCTTTCCCCAACTCTGCAGAAAACAGCAACCATTCCCAAGCCTATCCAGGGGATTCAAGGGGCTTGAAATATTGCAGGATGAGAGGGAATTGCTGATGGGAGAGGATACAGGAAACCGAACTTCCTTATCATGGGATCTAAGCCAACCTTGTGCCTTTCTGACTTGTTTGGACTACAACTCCCAGGATTTCTGGTTGATGGCCCATCTGGATAGGAATTCTGGAAGTTGCGGTCCAAATGCCTCTGAAGGCCACCAGGCTGAGGAAGGCTGATCTAAGCCATCTCTCTCCTGGTTCTTTATTAACACATGAGAGACAACCGTTAACTCAGTGGCTTGGTTGGGACATACATTTCCCAACTTCCCTAAGCAGAGAATGAACTCCTCCTCCATTGCCACTTGCCACGTCTCCTCCTCCTCCTCTGTTGTCTCCTCCAGTCCCTACTACATCCGAAATAAGCTAGCTGTGTTGCAGTCCTGTGAGTAAGCACCCATGGACTTCAGCAGGGCTTCTGAAATGACATGCATAGGAAGAGGCCGAGTAATTCACTCCTACCTACTCCTGACGCTTGCCCTGCTTGCTTGAGATTAGGCGTGCTGGTCATGGTAAGTGAGACTCCAAAGGCTTGTATTTGGGGTGCTACTTACAAGTGCTGCTGAGTGATTTAGTCTTGCTTGCTTCTGATAGGCTTGAAATCA